GGGGGGAGGGAAGGGGGGTACGTGTTTTACAGCGCTCGCAACTGCATAAGGTCATATGATTGAGCGGGACACATTACATTTTTTCATTTGGTAGGAATTTTTTTAATTTTGCCCGGGTGGCGGCCGAAGCCTACTCTTATCGATTTTAGACCACCAAGGGATCTTTAACGTGCTCAACTTGCACACAGGCCCTCCGACATTTTTCGCTCTTCTCCGAAAAGGCTAGGTGCAGATCTTTCCTACCAAAAAATCAGGGGTGTGAAAAACAGCAGCAAGAAGGAGCCAAGGAGTAGCAGTAAAAAGGCTGCAGAAAGACTCATGGGCCCAGAGGAGGAGGCAAAGGAGGTGAGGGGGGGGGGGCAGGAGGTGGAGACAAAAGCAGACGACAGAACATTGCTCGAGAGCAGGAAAGGAGATGAAAGGAGACAATTTTAGTGAAGAAAATGTTTCGGATTTGAACCCAGGACCTTTGAAGGAGAGACAAATACCCTAACTTTTAGGCCACGAGAGCCCCCTTGCAATGTGTGTGTGTGTGCCTGGAGGGGGGTGAAAAGGTAAACGAAAGTCGTGCCTAATTAAAAATTGTGTTCCGTAACAAAACGCACGTTCAACATTAATCTTAATAACTTATTGAATGGATTTTTACTGATGATTTTGGTAACAGATTACTAGAAATTGGGTCAAAATACTAAAGATAAAGTAAAGCCATTTTTCTCCAACTTTTGTTTTTACACCCTGTGTATTACAAAACGTGGCATATCTTAAAATTACTCAATATATTGGGAAAATGTAAAATCAGCGTGTTCAGCATTGAATTTGCTCCAAGCATAGTATGCCCTAATCATTTCAATTATCAAAATTTTTCGAAAAACGGTACATTTCTACAACAAGCACATATACACACATGAAGAGCCATAGATGAGTTCTCGTTTAACCCTATCCGCACGTCGTGTTTTACTATCGTATCGATATGACGTGGGGAACTCTGTGCCACCACTTTCCAAAAAGGAAATTTACTCGTTAATCTGATCTGTACGCTTTGCATGGCAGTCTGTCAAAATGATTCTTTGAGAAATACTGAACGTTTCAAAGAGATATTCGTACTAGAAGTATTCTTAAATGTGAAGAATACGATCCCGGGGTTATTAAATTACCCCACTACGTACGGATAGTGTTAAAGAAAAAACTGTAGACATAACGTGGAAAAGATTTTCTGAAGGGCAGAGACTGTTTCTTTCTCAGAGGATAATGGTTAGACTCTCATCTCTCTCTCTCTCTCTCTCTCTCTCTCTCTCTC